AAGGCCACGAAGCCGAAGAGGTGCTTACACATGAGATTCCAGGAAACAGGCGTGGGGGATGTGTCCACACGGTTCCTGATATACATGTCAAGGTCCCAGTGCATCTGAGGCAGAAAAACAGTTAAATGCAACATTCTGCTCTTCCTGCAAAAGGCAGGCAGTCTGCAAAAGGGTGATCAGAGCCTGATAAAAGGTTCGGTAAAGGCATTCTACTGCCCTGGGGCAATATTCTGCCAGTCAAGTGTGAGCTACTCTACCACATAAGACTAGGTGCTGGCTTAGGTCTAGGTTCTGCTGACCAAGGACAGTTCAAGCATGGAAGTGCACAATTTTCAAAGTACAGACCTCTGATTATTTCTTGAAGTCTCTTCCCATGTGCCATACATGGGACCTCAGATCTCAGATCACTGGGTCTTGCTTTCTTGGGCAGAAAACCTTAATGTTGCTTAGACAGCAAAATGCCATTTAAGCTAAATAAAGAATCCTCATGAAGATACTAGCAAGAAGGAAGAAAGGTCAAATGGGACATGGATCTCTCACCGGTTCACCCCAGTTCAACCTCAGGTCTGGGTGGTCCCAGTTATACCACGGATCCCTCTCCTGCTGTGAGCGGTCAGGGAGCTTTGGGTAGTCACCATACCTGAGAGACAGAAAAACTTCTGGAAGGGGCTTTGAGCAGCATCACTCAGGCAATTCAAAGCCCCCTCATGTTAAGAGATGAGAAACCAAGTGACAGATAACGGCCTCCCCTAAGGACAGAGAAACCCACTTTCAAATTAAGATCTCAATTTACAGTCACTAAGCACAGAACTAATCACAGAAGTCCAAAATGTAAATAAAAGATGATGTCAAACTCTGAAACATTATAATATACATTATAACATACATGCTTTTCTTACCTTTTTCAACAACAGAAGTCATGCAATGTTATAATGTTAAAGCTGGAAGGGAATTTAGCAATCAATCACTCTGATTCCCTCATTAGACAGAAAATGAAACTGAAGTTTAGTCTGAACCCCAGGTCACCCAGCTAATTGGAATACAAACAAAAAGGGTTCAGATTAAAGCATTCTCTTCATAGCAACTGTGCTCCCAACTACCAAGTTAGCATACAGCTCCATGTCTCAAACGCCTCATGGGACTTCCTGCTAAGCTGGGTTTTCCGTAACAATCCAGTTTCAACTTTTACAGACTGCTACCAAGGCTACTCTTGTCCACAACAAAGTAAGAGACATAGGAAATGATGACTAGTTATGTGTCACAGAAAATGATTGGAAAACAGCAAGAAAAATAGGAGCTGCTAAAACCACTACTGAAAGAGTATGCTAGGAAAGAAAATGAGGGTGACCATAATCACGTCAGATACTTAACCACAGGGGTGTTATGTAAAGGGGGGGATGGATAACATCACTGGGAGTAGGGAAGTTGGCTGTTTAATCTGCTCGACAGTTACTACAACTTCCACAGCCCTAACAGCAAAGATATTTTTTAAAAGAAAGACATACATACGAATATAGAGTACTCCATCTACAAGTAAGGCTCTCAAGACAGGAGTCCAGCTCCAGCCTGATCACGTGCCTGGATGACAGCACCTGAGCCCAGCAGATGCTCAATCTAAATGAAACCTCGCACTCTGGTTGAAGCCAAGGAAAGTTCCTGCTATTCAGGGGTCCTCAAGGGAGCTATTAAAATCTCGGCTTCCTCATTTGAGGAAATAGCCTGAGCCAAGGAGAAAATTGAAGTCCTCTAGGCTGCAGCTGCTCACCCATCACCTCCCACTTCCCTCCACCGAGAAAGGCACCCACACCATTGACTCTGAGGGGTCACGCGAAGGTTCAGGGAAAATGGTCAGAGTCGAGCCACCCAACCCGGCTGGCCATCTCACATCACGACTCTGCTGCATCTCACCCCATGCCATCATCCGGGTACGGTTGGTAGTCTTCTACCCGCATATTGTATTTCTTGGCGGCGGCGGCCCGTTCTTCCGGCGTTTTGGGATAGGGCCCCGGGAGCATCTCCTTCGTAATGTGCGAAGCTGGAGAGCAGAAGAGGGCGGGTCAGAAAAGACCCTGTCCTTCCTGCTGCCCCGAAGGCTTCAAGCTGCGGTGGCTGCGGTGGCCCAGGCTTCAAGGGACCAGTGAGACTCTTGACCCCCTTTTCTGGGTATACTAACTCCACCTCCGCCCCCTCGTTGGACACAGCCACCGCGGTATCCGCGATACCCGTCCCCCCCCGCCGCACCCCCCACCCCCCCGCCAACCCTCGACACACCAAACCTCAGGCATCCCCACACTCGGGCCTCGCCCGTTCTCGCGGACCTGCCCGTGCACCCAGCGGCACCACGGTCCGGCTTGCCCTTTGCAGCCATCGCGCTCCCAGGACCCCCGCCCTGGCCGTCGCCATCTTCACCTTCCTCCCGGTTGACCCTGCACATGCGCAAAGGCCTTGTCACGGCGGCTGAGCCGGGCCAAACGCGACAAGGGAAGCCGGTAGCGAAGGAAAGTCGTTAGGCTCCAACAAGGGCGGGGCTTAAACCGTGTTGAGAAGCCGCAGGGAAGATGGGAGGTTTGATAGAGGCAGAGAGGGGAAGTGGAAAGGAGAGAAAATCGAGCAGGTCATTATTTGACATTTCATACTATTGTGTCCCTTTCTCCGTCAGCTGACTTAGACACTTCCAAGGATAATGGGGACACAGAACCCGAGTATCTCAGGTGGACAGCTAACTTACCTCCCCCAGGTGCAGTACAAGTCGAATGAGCCTGTCTTAATGTCTTCTTTGACCGCCTGCCTTTTTCCTCTCCTTCACTGGCACTTCCTCCTTTCATCCCCAAACGTGATCATTCTTCAAATTCAGCCCTTGGTCTTCCTTGCTCTTGTTCTGTTCTGCAAATTGGTTGATCTCCTTCACATAGAGGAATGATGCAACACACAAATCGCCCCAAATTCGCTCCTCAGTTTTACTCTGTATTTATATTTGAATGTCCCAGTCACCTCAATCCAACAAATGTAAAACCAATCCTAGCACCTAAAGCAGCTCTTCCCAGACTGGCTAAAGCCTCAGATTGGCTAGGACTTGTAAAGATTTCAAGCCGGACCACAGTTAACAAACACTAGCTTAAAGAAGAATGGGGGATATTATCATGTTTGCATATGAATATGTTTTCACTTTTACACAAACAGGATTTGTATAATTTAAACAATATAAATGTACACGTATTTCTAGCAACTTTTAGGGTCATGACTGTTTTGGTGCAGAATCCATTATTACAGACATTCTCAAATATATATTAGAGCAATAAAGATTATATATACTACTTGGCATATAAAGTTGGGGGAGGATTACTTCACAGCAATTTGCCCTCTTGTAAATAAGCATCACTAGTTGATGTTCAAAATAATTGTACAATATCTGCATTCAATCAAGCCCTGATTGAATTTGGGTTAAGAAACAGTGTTTTCTAATTTATTTACTATTATCAAGATATAATTCACATACAATAAAATTCATCCCTTTAAAGTGTACAATAAAGTGATGTTTAGTATATTTACAAAGTTGTGCAATTATCTCCACTAATTCTAAATTGTTTTCATTACCCCTACCCCTAGACCCTGGCCATCACTAATCTACTGTGTGTCTGTATGGATTTGCCTATTTTGGACATTTTATATAAACAGAATCATGCAATATGTAACATTTTGTGTCTGACTTACTTCACTTAGCATAATATTTTTAAGGTTTGTCCATGTTGTAGCATGTGTCAGTTCTTCATTCCTTTTTTTTATAAAGATTTTATTTATTTATTTGAGAGAGAATGAGATAGGGAGCATGAGAGAGGGGAGGGTCAGAGGGAGAAGCAGACTCCCTGCTGAGCAGGGAGCCCCATGCAGGACTTGATCCTGGGACTCCAGGATCATGACCTGAGTCAAAGGCAGTCGCTTAACCAACTGAGCCACCCAGGCACCCCAGTTCTTCATTTCTTTTGATGGCCAAATAATATTCTGTTATATTGATATACAACTTTTTGTTTATACACTCATCAGTTGATAGACATTTGGGTTATTTCCACTTTGGGGCTATTATAAATAATGCTGCCATGAACATTCTTGTACAACTTTTTTGTGTGGATGTATGTTTTCAATTCTCTTCAGTATATACCTAGCAGTAGAATAGCTGGAGAAAGAAGAAAGAAAGAGAGAAAGAAAGAAAGAAAGAAAGAAAGGGAGAATTGCTGGATCATAGGATAACTCTGTTTAACTTTCTGCAGAACTGTAAAACTGTTTTTCAAAAAGCTGCACCATTTTACATTCCCACTGGCCGCATATGAGGGTTCCAATTTTTCCACATTCTAGTGGCTGTGAATGGTATCTCATTGTGGTTTTGATTTGCATTACTCTGATGACTAAAGATGTTGAGCATCTTTTCATGTGCTTATTGGCCATGGTATATCTTCTTTGGAGAAATGTCTATGCAAGTCTTTCATCCATTTCTTAACTGGGTTGACTTTTTATGCTTAGTTGTAAGAATTCTTTATATATTCTAGACAGAAGTCACTTATCAGCTATATACTTTGTAAATATTTTCTCCCATTCTATGGATTTTATCTTTTGTCTAGGCCTGCAGAGCAACCTTTGCCCAACATCTATCAATCTGACAATTGCTTTTCCTTCTGATTTCTTAGGTAGGTCAAGAGTTTACTTCTCTCCCCATCCATGACTGTAAAGTTTAATGCCCCGCTAAACTGGCCTCCTTCTCTGCTTCTCGTGTAGGCCTGGGCACACTGACGTAGCAATAATATTTGGTGTATTGGTTAACCAGGTGATCAGTGGGTTTAACCTCTGCGCCCCAAGACTTCAGGGGCCGAGCTTAGGGTGTAAAGCTGTAGGTCACCATTAGGAGGAGCTCCCCCACGCCCCGGTTCCGCGTTCTTTGTGTCTCTGGACCGCTCTCGCGCGCAGGCCATCTCTATGGTTTCCGTTGTGTTTTATCCGGAATAGGCGGGGCTTCCGGTTCCGGTGGGGCCGTCTGTAGCGACGGAGATGGCGGCGACAGCGACGGAGGCTGCGGCCTCGGGCTCTGGAGAAACCCGAGAAGAGGCCGAAGCGCCCAGCCTCGCCTGGGATGAGTCCCAACTGCGTAGTTATAGCTTCCCGACCCGGCCCATCCCGCGTCTGAGTCAGAGCGACCCCCGGGCGGAGGAGCTTATCGAGAATGAGGTAGGAGGCGGGGCCCCGTCCGAAGGGGGAGGGGGAAGGGACCAGCTTGAGAGGAGAGGTCAAAGGCGAGTGGTGATACAAGTGGGGAACTGGCAGGGCTGTGGACCAGGGCCTGAGGGAAGATGGAGAGGGAGGCGAGGAGAAATGGAACTTAAGGAGTTCGCGCTTGTTCACAGGAGAAAGTATTCAGAAGTAGGGAAGCTGGACTCATGAGACAAGAATCCACCAGGTCCTTGGGACGACTTTATTTGTTTTTTTCACTTGTTGTTTTCACTTAGGAGCCTGTGGTGCTGACAGACACAAATCTTGTGTATCCTGCCCTGAAATGGGACCTTGAATACCTGCAGGAGAACATTGGCAACGGAGACTTCTCTGTGTACAGTGCCAGCACCCACAAGTTCTTGTACTATGATGAGAAGAAGATGGCTAATTTCCAGAACTTTAAGCCCAGGTCCAACAGGGAGGAGATGAAATTTCATGAGTTTGTTGAGAAACTGCAGGATATACAGCAGCAAGGAGGAGAAGAGAGGTAAGTTCCCAGATCGTGGCTTCCCACTGAATCTAGGGCATTCATTTTCCTTTCTTGTAATTGAGCATATGGAGGAGTTAGACGAGTTCTCTAGCTTGAGAGATGAGAGAATGATTAGACTTGAATTGTGACTCTGTAGTTCTTTGTTGTCTTCACAGAGTGACAGTCACAGTTGCCTAGAAGGGTCAGGTAGGTGAACAAAACGAGAGAAGTTGTTTGGGTAAAAACTACAATGAAGCTGAAAGCATATGCCTTGTTCAAAGTGAGAAGTCATTACTTGACTCTTGTTTCCATTTAGGAATGCAGTCCCAGGGTTGCCAGATACTCTCATTTTCAAGAGAAGCCAGAAATTAGGATTTTTACTTAACATTTTTTTGACTTTTAAATGGAGGCAGCTAATTCAAATTTTTAGAAATGCTGCGGGGTACCAAACAAAACCGACTGTCATTGGATTTAGCCCTGAGATGGCCAGTTTGCACCCTGTGTCCTAAAATGTTAGGCTGGCTTGGGACAATTAAAACTAAAAAGTTTTATAGATTGTTATGATTCTGGGGTGAAGGATGTCAGGGTCCTCTAGATTAGGGGAGATCAGATTCAGTTGATATGGATTTCCACATTGTACTAGAGATAGCAAACACAGGACACACTCAGATGGGACTCTTCCTCTGTGCTTTTATCCTTATATGTGAAGACAGCCTCTTTGGTAGGTCCCGGACAGCATTCAGTTCCATACTGTAACATTGCTTCTGGGGAATTGCTTTCACTGAGTACTTCATGGTGAATGACCATCTCCATCTCACATTTCGTGCCCAACCCTGGGCTTCTCTTTAGTCTCCTACCTCAGTTCTTTCCCTGACTCTTAGCAGCATATGGCTGAATGAATGGATTTGGAATATCTTTTTTGTGTTTGTGTGTCTTCCTGACACGTAGCCGTTATCATACCACTAGAACTTTGACCAAAAAGAGTTTCCAGGGTCTCAACTGTGATTGATCAGTTCTTTATGTCTTACAAAGACTGGTGTAAGTCATCTTCTGCTTAAGTTTCCTCAAATTTAACATAGCATATACATGTGTATGCATACGTCCACACATCCCCAATGTTGAGAGAGAGAAGTCGATTTAAATGGTGCTGATGGAATGTAATTCCACTGCATGAACATCTGCGCTGGAAGGAGCATGAGATAAGACACAGGAGTCCTCGATCCTCAATCACTTTAAGTTTCTTATCTCCCTTAGGGAGAGCAGTTTGCCTCACTAAGTATAAGCTATGAGTGTAGTCTTTTTTTTTTTTTTTTTTTAATATTTTATTTATTTATTTGAGAGAGAGAATGAGAGACAGAGAGCACGAGAGGGAAGCGGGTCAGAGGGAGAAGCAGACCCCCCGCTGAGCAGGGAGCCCGATGTGGGACTCGATCCCGGGACTCCAGGATCATGACCCGAGCCGAAGGCAGTCGCTTAACCAACTGAGCCACCCAGGCGCCCCTGAGTGTAGTCTTTATGAATGATTCAAGGAAGATTTTTTTCCTATGCACAGGTTTTGCCCTACCAGCTTACTTTACCACCAACCAGTTCCACTTTGGAATTGTATGGGTTGTTATGATTCAAGGAATTCTATGATTTCTCTTTGAGCTCTTTTGACCATTTACTGTTCAGATGTAATAGGAGTTGTTTGGATTCATGTTTGGTGAGTGTTCTGCCTCTTTCAAAGTTACTTGGCAAAATTTTTGTATGAATATTTTATAATTTCTGGGGAGAGTCCAAAGGTTGCATTTGAGTCCTGAGGGTTCCTTGTCCCCCAAAAGGTAGCTAGTGTTTACAACTTAAAAGATTTCTAGTTAATATTGCTTTAAGCATCCTGATTCTAGGCACTGAGATAGCTTTGAGCCATTTGAAGTAACATTCTCGGGACTAGAACAGGGCTGCTTTTGTGTTTTGTCTTCATGTTTGCCCCTTTATTAATGTCCCTTATGGGACTTGAGCAAGTGTCTGGGTTTTCACATCCCTTAATTAATTTCCGATCTTCGGTGTATTAGGAGCCCTAGGTCTGCAGAAAGCCTGATGAGGCTTTCAGTTGTAGAAGGCCGCTGCAGCTGAATTAGTTAAGATAAACTAGGTTTCAAGCCAGAGGCAGTGGCTTGAAACAACAAAGGTTTATTTAGGTTTATAACAACAACAGTCATGCTGCGGTGTCTGTCATAGGTCACATGGAGGCTCTACTGTTACATCATCTTTTTCATTTTGGGACCCAGCAGCTACTATCTGAAACCTTGCAGTTGATTAGCAGAGGGAAAGAAATGTGGTGGTAGTGAGTACTGTTTCTTCAAGTTACAGTTTAGAAGCAACACAAGTCATTTTTGTGGACATACCTGGTCAAAGCAAGTTAAATAAGCAAGCTTGGCTTCAAGGGGATACAGGAGAATTAACTCTCCCACAGGGAAGAAACTAGATCTTGGTGAACAGTAATACGATCTATCATAACGGCCATTGAGGGCCAAAGAGGATGTCTGAGGCTCTGAGCATCTCTAGAGAAAAGCTGATTAATCATTTTAGTCTCTGAGTAGGTGTTGAGAAATCTATGAAATTGTATGAAAGTTCTGTGTGTATGTACATATTTATGGAAGCGTTCCTTGGATTCTTAGATTTATGTTGTGACCCAGAAAAGGTCAAGAATCACTTCTTTTAGGGGCGCCTGGCTGGCTCAGTTGGTGAGAGCATGCAACTCTTGATCTCAGGGTTGTGAGTTCAAACCTCACATTGGGTATAGCGTTTACATTAAAAAAAAAAAAAATTTTTTTTTTTTTCTTTAAAATAGCAAGTTTGGTGTTGAACAGAGCTCGAAGAAGGTACAGGCAAGGATTCAGTTCTGTGAGAATCTGTCTTGGTTAAAATTTGCATGGCTGCAGCTGGTCTCTCTGGGAGGTGCTGTTGTGAATTTGGATTTCCAGATGTGGGGAGGCCATGCCAAGGGACTGTGTATGTGCACTAATGGGATTTTATTCTCGGGGAACATAGGTTGTATCTGCAGCAAACACTCAATGACACCGTGGGCAGAAAGATTGTCATGGACTTCTTGGGTTTTAACTGGAACTGGATTAATAAGCAACAGGGAAAGCGTGGCTGGGGACAGCTGACATCCAACCTGCTGCTCATCGGCATGGAAGGTAAGAAATCTTTCAGAAAGCAGCATAGCTTGGAGTCCTACAAACCTGATTTCCAGGCTTGTCTTCACCACTCATTTGCTTTATGACTTTGAACGAGTCACCTAACTTTTTTAAACCTCAGCCTCCTCTTCTGTGAAAGGAATATGATAATATAAATAGCTATGAAGATTCAACGAGATAATGTACATAAAGTGATTAAGCTAGTTTCATGCACTCTAAAAAGAGAGTTAGTTCTCTTTTCCCTTCCTCAGTTACTGCATGAGCGTGTATACTCAGGTATTAGGGATCTTCCTGAGATACTGTTCTATTTATTGGATCTGTCTGTATTCAGAAGACTTTTATTCCAGTAGAAGAGGAAAGCTTATTTTTTCAGTATAAATTGAACTTTATCTTTTGAATGTTAATATATTTATGGAGTTAAATTCAAAAGGTATAAATAGGTGTGTAATGATAAATCTCTCTTCCAGTCCTATTTCTGAGCTTTCCAATATCCCTCCCTGGAGGCACCACGTGTTATTAGTTGCTTGTGTATCCCGCTAGAAGATTTTATGCATACACAAGCAAATATGTGAATATGTTCGTTCGTTCTTTTTTCATTTGAATGAGAGGAGAGGCCTTTGAATTCCAGTCAAAAGAAGGAGAGCTGCTTACTGGCCAGGATCGTTATCTTATTTTTTTTTTTTTTTAAGATTTTATTTATTTATTTGACAGAGAGAGAGACAGCAAGAGAGGGAATACAACCAGGGGGAGTGGGAGAAGCAGGCTTCCTGCTAAGCAGGGAGCCTGATGCAGGGCTCGATCCCAGGACCCTGAGATCATGACCCAAGCCTAAGGCAGTCGCTTAACCGACTGAGCCACCCAGGCACCCCTCATTCTTGTTTTTATTTGTGGCACTAGCTCAAGGCCAGGCCCATAGTAGGTACTTAGTAAATAGTGAATAAATTGGATTAATCAAGGAAGCAGAGTAGTGGTCTCTTCTCCTTTTATTGTCCTTTCTTCAGTTTTGGATCCTTTGCTGCAAGTATTAATAAGGATTTCTAGCGATGCAGTTTATGGATTGCACCCCTAACCTGCCCCTTTGAAGCCAGCTCTTGATTAACCTGCCAGGAGCTAGTTTCGACCTACTTAGCTATATGTTCTTCTGTTGCCTTCCTGCCCTTCGGTAGAGTGCACAGAAGCAGATCCCTCAGGTAGAGATGAGAGAGCAAATCTCCTTTGAGGATGCACATGGACTCAGCATTAAAGAAGGCGGCTGTCTTGGCCCACTCAGGCCGACCCAGGGAATGTTTTCTGAACTCTGTGCCCTACAGAAGGGCCCCTCAGCTCTCGGATTGTGCAAAGGATAAACAACAGATGAGGTCCCAGTTATAAAGAGTAGACGGAGCATACATATTCTAGGGCAGAACTAATTCAAGTTGGCATTTTAAATAATTTGCCTTATTCAAATTATAGAACACTTCAGGAATCTGATATGCTCCCCTCATGCCCCCATGAGAATTAACAGCCTCAGTGTTGCTCTAAGAAGTGTCCCATCCCACAGATGTGTTGAAGTGAGAACAGAGGTTGAGAATCTTTGAGCTCCAGAAGAGCTACTCAGAGCAAGTACATACTCGTACAACTTAAAATGACCAATTAACTCCATCAAAGAAGATGATGCATGTGTTGTTGATGCCAGTCATTTCAGTTGTTACTCTTGTTTTGCTACCCTTTCATTTGTGCTATAGTCAAGAAGAGTGCAAGTATGCCCAGTATATTACTTGGCCAGGCTTGTGACTGTTCTCTTGATGTGCTGCCGCTTCCAGTAAGGGCAGAGGCGTCGTTTGTGAAAGTTTGCGTCGCTGTAATTGATGGTGAGCCCTTAGCCAGCGATGGTTTCTGAACAACTTACTGCCCACTGAAAGTGTAACACCTACTTTGCTGAGAGCTGTAATTGCAGTCACCCTGATGCTGCTTGAAACTTTGATTGGGAACCCTTAGCTGAGAGGGCAGGCTGGGTTTCTCTCCAGCACTGGGCCTTGTGTTCCAGCCTATGCAATAGAGCCACTGCTCGGAATAAGAAAATGTCTTTCCTCCTACAGGAAATGTGACACCTGCTCACTATGATGAGCAGCAGAACTTCTTTGCTCAGATAAAAGGCTACAAGCGATGCATTTTATTCCCTCCGGATCAGTTTGAGTGCCTGTACCCATATCCTGTTCATCACCCATGTGACAGACAGAGCCAGGTGAGCTTGTGTGGTCTGAGGAGGGTATAGAACTCCTTTGGGATCCAAGGTTGGCATGTCTTTCCCCTTCCCTGTGGATAAACTCAGGATAATTTCACAGTGTAGCTCACATTCCAGGCCCTTGTGGTGGTCCCCAGATGTTTATAAGGATAAACCGTTCCGTTGAGCTAATTCTGGAGGGCAGACCCCATCACTAATGCTAGTGGACTCTGGTTACTCTGCTTGAATGTGTGTGTCTCCATTGGATTTAATCATTTGTTCTGTTGTCATGGATGCTGCTACTTTCTGATAAGGAGAAGGATGAACAGAATTGTCATATGTCATTTACTGTCTTTCTTGGATCTAAAAGAAGTATGTGGTTGACTTTATGGCCAACCAGAGAGGTCCCCTCCTTTCTTGAGAAAACTGCCTAGCCACTTCATGTATGAGTTTTTGCTGGTAGGAATATGTGTGTGGGAGAAAGTTTCAGAAGATGTGGTTGAAGGATGCATCCTCATTCCTCATATCTGCAGGCCATGAGTAGGTTTTCTGACCTGCAAGCTGTGATGATTGGCTTCTGACCTCAGGAGCACTGAGGCCCAGGATTCTTTATCAATCTTCAAGTATGGCCTGTCTTACACTGTTCTCTGAGAGGGTGTGTGTATGTTTAAGGTGTGTGTGGTATCTTCTGCTGGATATAAATTCTAAACACTTTTTTTTTTCTTAAAGCCATCTTTTTATCACTACCAGACTAGCGCATCACAGTTATTAATAAAGATTTGGTGATTGACTGATTTTTTTTTCTTTCTCTTGAACCTCTCAGGTGGACTTTGACAATCCTGACTACGAGAGGTTCCCCAATTTCCAGAACGTGGTTGGTTATGAAACAGTGGTTGGCCCTGGTGATGTTCTTTACATCCCAATGTACTGGTGAGGAGGGGGCTAGGACTGGGCTTCTTGGGAGCTGTATCTCTGAGTTGTGGCAGGATTGGTCTTATGTGATCTACAGAAAGGTTGGCATATCCAGATGTGAGCATACTGAACATGGGGGAAATGACAACCCAGTCTCTAGGACAAGATGACAGTTCCTCAGGTCCAAAGAGATCCCAGTGGCTTGAGGCTGGAGAGACTGTTCTTGGCTCTTTTGTATTTGGAGACTGAACTGAACACCACTGCCTCTGGTCCCGGGGTGTGTTTGACAGGATGAGTATAAAGATATATCCTTGTTATTTGCTTTAGCCAGACTTTACCTAGTTTTCCATCCCTCCCTCTAAAAGAATATTGGTGGCAAACAGGAGCATGTTTATTTTCTTGCAGGTGGCATCACATAGAGTCATTACTAAATGGGGGGATTACCATCACTGTGAACTTCTGGTATAAGGTGAATATGGGTATTTTCCCCCTAGATGGGATTGGGGTGAGGTAGGTGTAATAAATGAATTGGGGCAGGGTGGGGAGGTTGGCTCTCTCTGAAAGTGATCCCCAGGTCTTTGGGGAGATGAAGAGGGATGGGATTGAACTGGGTTTCTTAGAAGGGGTGAAGGTGCTAGAAATGTGGGTTACATTGAAGCCTGCTGCTAAAGGCATTTCCTGAGCTGCTGCTTCCTTTGCAGGGGGCCCCCACCCCTAAGAGAATTGAATATCCTCTCAAAGCCCATCAGAAAGTGGCCATAATGAGAAACATTGAGAAGATGCTTGGAGAGGCCTTGGGGAACCCACAAGAGGTATGTGGCTGCCCCAAGGTGGCACTCCTGTGGCCCAATGGGCAGAGTGACAAGGGCAAGTCAGGATTGGTGTCACATTCTCCATAGCTCTGTTTCAGTATCTGGTGTCCTTTCTCTCCATAGAGGTTATGGGTGTGTTCAGAAAATCTTTGTTTTCTGGTGAGAGCTGGGCTTGACTGGTGGATCAATTATAATCTGTTCCATGCTAGTGGTAATGTTCCCCATGGGGCTTGTGTGCCAGCTGGGGTCCCCTGAGGGGATTCTTCTAGAATGGGAAGCGAGCAGTAAAGCATCTCCTCACGCTCTCCCAGCTGTGCCAAGGCTGCTGTAGGTAATGTTGAGACCTGCTTCCCACACAGGTGTGCCAGTGGCCCATTGGGTACCCAGGGGAGGCATTTGTAATGCTCTGGCCTTCTTCCTGTGGATAGCCTCAGCATTCGGAGGACCTGTGGGATTGGGAGGTGGCACCAGCCCCGATTGCATGTGACCGTTTCAGGATACAGAGGCATTTAACCTTCTTAAAGCTCGTTTAAGAAACATGCAGGCATTCTTGGGTTTTGGGGGATTATTGGCTCCTCTGACCTTCTCTCTGTCAGTTTGGTGCTGTTTATAGGGTATTGTGAGAGGGAAGGTAATACAAGATGGACCCAAAGGAGAGGGCCATGTCCTGGAATATTCTCCAGGAAGAGAGTAGGTTAGTGGGTTTACAAGATTGAACGAAAGCCTTATCCCTGCCCTTGGCTGGACATAGAATGCCTCCAGACACACCACGTCTGGCTCCAGGGCCAGGGGACAGGCAGTTCTGACTGGCTCCTCATGTCTCTTCACAGGTGGGGCCCTTGTTGAACACAATGATCAAGGGTCGATACAACTAGCCTGCCAGGAGTCGAGGCCTCCTGCCAGGTGACTGCTAGCCCGTCCACACCGCTTCATTGATGAGGACAGGAGACTCCAAGCGCTAGTATTGCACGCTGCACTTAATGGACTGGACTCTTGCCATGGCCCTGGAGGCAGGTGTTTGGGGCAAGGCAGGGTGGTTGGCGCTCCACTCCCATTTGGAGGGACTTCTTGCCCTTGCCTCTGTGCCCCAGCATCTTCCCTCTCTGCCCCCCCTCCCCCCCAAGGTCCTGCATTCAGTGTGTGGAGTCCCAGCTTCTGGTTGTCATCACGTCTGTGTGTGTCAGTCTGTCACCGTCGGGATGTGTGTGCGTGTGTGTGCATGCACACGCATGTATGTATCTGTTCCTTGCTTTCTCCTCCTGGGTCAGGATGCCACTGCTGGCTCTCCTTCCTGTCTCCTGCAGCCTCAGTGCCTCAGCCTGAGAGGGAGGAGATGGTCTTGGACGCCCACTACCGGGCTGCAGGGCCAGAGCTCTCCTGACCGTCAGGTCAGTCTGCCTCCTTCCAGTTTTCACAGAGTCAGGCTCTAGGCTGGGTGGGAATGGTTACTGGGACTCTTAACAGGGAGAGTGAGAGGGAGGCTTGCCTCTGAGAGCCTAGATAGCCTTCCTGTGAGAGAATTAGACAGATTTCCAACTTGGACCCTTAAGCTCAAGCCATACATAGAAAAGAGCCTCGGGATATTAGAGCCAAGGACTATGCATAAGTTCCAAATTGCAGACACATACAGCTTCTCTCTTTCAGCACCAGCTCTTGCTCCCTGTGCTGAGTGCCAAGGGAGTTCTCCTAGTAGTGGCTTCTCTAGGTTCTAGGGGTGTAAGCCTCTGTGTGGATGTGTGTGTGATACGTGTGTCTATGCGTGCGCGCGCGTGTGCGTGTCCTTGTCCACACTGGCCTGCCTCTCTGCTTACTAAGTTTCTCCACTGCTTAACCTTGTCTAGTGGGACATACAGTGTGAACCCCAGGGAAGTACTGCCTGACCTAGCCTAAAGCTTTTAAACTCAGTTTTAGCCATTGGACATTGGTCAGGTCTCACTACAACCTCCAGGTCCTGTGACCCTCCCAGCCCAGGCCACGTCCTCTACTCCTGCGGAGTTTCCTGGCCAAGTAAATGAAATGGGGTCAAGCTTAGGCAGCTAACTTACCACCTATCATCCACCTCAGGGCAAGGACAAAAATACAGCCTTGCTTCTTAAAGCCAGCGCCTCTGCCAGACCCCCCTATAATGTTCTACAAACACCCTTGAAAGTCAGGGCAACTGATGATAGAGCACGGAAGTGGAATTTCTTTTCCTTTTCATCATTACTTGTGGGAACCCCTCTCAGGGCTGCAGCTTACATACAGCTGGGCACTGCACAACTCAAAGGGCCATCGGTCACATGATTCAGTGGAACTGGGGCCGCTGGAATTGGGCGGTATGGTGGCCCGGTGGCCCTGTGTCTCTTCACCTCCACTCCCATCTCCATGCCCCTTCTCTTTGGAAGGAAAGAGGAGTTGGAAAACTCTGGGTTTTTTTCCTTTTTTTTTTTTTTTTTTTTTTTTGCCAAAGGTTTACTTTCAGCATCTGAGCTGTGGCTCTAACCCCCAAAGCTCAGTTTACAGTTACAGCGCACTGATGGACTGAGAGGATGTATGTGTATGCATGTGTGCACCTGTGTGTGTATTTTGGGTAGGGGTGTTTATTTTTAGTACCCCATTCTGGGGTTCTCTGATGCAGCGTGGGTGTGCAAACACGGTACCTTCTCAAGTGTAGTTCTTTCAAATATAGCCAATGCTGGAAAATGTGATTGCAGTGATCTCCATCCCTCCATCTCTTGGGAAAGAGGAGCGCAGCAAAGAAAACAAGGCAGACAGAGGATAAACTTGACCACAATCAAACTTTGAAAGATAGCGATTATTATTCTCCTTAGCGGGTCTGTTGCGTTCCTAGCTCAGCCCTCAAAGATGTGGGTGATGTGCAGCAGAAAGGCATGTGCCACTCAGCTGATCCTGGCTGGATGCTGTGCTGACAGATCTGACCTAAGGCGACCAAGGGGGAGGGTTCTTTACAGGATTGGTCCTGACCCTTGGGTAATACAATAGGGAACCTGATTATTAGACACTCACTATCTGCCTAGTGCTTTTATCTTTATTCCTCACTATCCTGCAAGGTAGGTATTTTCATTTCACCGCTAAAGAAACGGGCTCAGAGAGGTTTCAGTGACTAGTGGCAATCAAGATAAGAACCTAGTGTTAATTTGACTGCAAACTCCGTGCTGCTCCCTTTCCAGCAAACTGTTGATTCTCCTACCTTGCCATCTCCCTTGTACTACAGGCTGTCCTCAGATCTCACCCTACTGGGCAGTGCCCAAGAAGGTGCACAAGATATAGTTCAGGGAAAAAGCTCTTTTGGGCTCCAGCTAAAGACCTCTTGGGAAAACTACCGGGAAGTCCTGTTCTGAGTGAAGAGTGCTGGAAGGAGTTGTGGGGAAAAGGAGTTCTAGATCCGAGTGCATTATTTGTGCTTGAATAGGTATCATAACTTCTCCCAGCTTGCTTCTGCACCTAAAGATTGAAGATCCAGTCTAGATGATAACTAAAAACATTGATTCATGTTCTGCTTCCTCCCTTTCCCCCAAGGAAGAGATCTAGTCTCCTCCCTTCCCTTAGGACTAAGTTAGGGCTGTTTAGGCTCAAATTCTACTTGCGGCTAAGAAACATATCTGCTCTGTTGCTTACTCTTAATGCTAACCAGCAGCGTGGAGGCAGACACATCAAGGGAAGGTGGGGCTTTGGACCTGAATGGAGGTCAGCCACATTACAGGCTCCCATTTTTACATCAGCAGGTACATGGGAAACTACTCTTTTGTGAAGTCAAATATTTGTTGGGGGGTTGGAGTTTGGGGGAGGGAGGAGGGGCTGTTCTGGGCATCAGTTGAGCAGATGCCCAGGATGCCTGGGGGAGACCAGCTTCCCCTACAAATCAGAGCTCTAAATTACAAGGTTTTTACCAACGCGAACAGTTGGGGGAAGTCGTCTGCTCTCATTTGCGTAATGGTTTCTGTCACTGGTGATTAGACACAGGATGAAGGAAAAGAAATTTGACAATTAGGAATGAGCGATCATTAATCTGAATCTGTTAGGAGACAGAGAGGGGAAGGATCCTTATCAGTGGGCCCGCCCAGTGTGGGGAGACCCTCCCTCTGCCCCCACCAGAGACTCTTGGGCCACATACCCTTCCATTGTTCCCACGAGCGAGCTGAGCTGGTGTTTCTTAACAAAGCTTAGGTAGGCCCAGGCCCCAGCCTGAGGTGGATACAGTAATGGGCGGGTCTTAGGCGTGAGCCATCAAAGAGAGATAGATGGGTGTCAAATGCAAGTGATAGGGCAAAGAATAGCAATGGGAAAGATTTGCCATGTTTGCTGTTTGTGGAAAAATTCTTTTAATCAACACGCCAGATACCCCACCTGTGACAAGTGTCTGTTACATTCCTACACTGCAGGGTGTGGAGAAGACCTGGTTTTTATCCTCTAGGAGCTTCTACTTAGTTGGAGAGGAAACCACACGAAACAGCCAGAGGTTATGAAGCCATGAATCTTGCACATTTTGAGGACAAGATGAGAGATTGTTGAGAGAGGAGGAAGATCAGTAGAGAGCAAGCTCTGCCCCCAGGCTCCGCTGAGTCCCTGGGCTCCCCAGGGAGGGACTCTTCACTACAGGTCTCCCAGCAATGTTGATTTTTCCCAGTCGGTGCCTCCGCAGTGTAGTAGCTGCTGAAGAGCACTGAAGCCCCACCCAGGCATGTGAACAGGTGATAAGATTACTTCTAGTGGGCTGAGTCCTAAGGTGTGGAAAGTCCCAACTTGGATCTTCGCAGGTCTCAGTGGCACGTCAGTGCGCATTCTTCCTCTGTCTTCACACTTTTAAGGATTATGTTAATTTGCACTAGTTGGTATTTGTTCCTCAGTTTTGTGTCTTGTGTGTGGTGGGTTCTTTAGACACGGACGGTTCTTTGTCTCCTCTCAGAATGTGAACTTCCCACAGACAGGACTCTGTCTCTCCTTTGGTAAACTCCCTGCCTCTGAGGCTTCTGCCCTCCAGATTAGCTGCAGAGTTCAGTAGGGCGACAGGGAATAGCCCTCGGTGACTAGTTTTACCCAAACAGGGTGGATGCCGGGGTGCACCTGGACATGGCCCTTGGGGTTCCAGAGGCCCTGGCCTCTCAGCCCTGTTCTTTTCGTCCTCTGGAACCTTCAGTGCTCGTCCTCCAGTCCCTGCCGACTTCTCTGGTGTCCTCTCAAGCTTCCTGCATTGAAGAGATACTCCAGCTTCTCTTTTCAGGGCTCCCCTAGTTTCTCCCTCTCCCACTCAGCTTTCCTCTGTCCAGTCTCTCCCTCAGCCAAGGGCCTTTTTCCTAAATGGTTGCCCTTTCTTCAGAAGCCCCAGGGCTGCAAGTGTTTGGATAGACTTTCTCTAGGATCTCTCCCCCTGGGTTCAGCCCTGAGCATCTTTGAGTTATCTTCCTTTTTCAACATGTGGTTAGTCCATTCGTTCTGTGTCTGCTCTGCCCTCTTAGTATTCCTTTGTTAATTCTGTGTGGCTTGTTTAGCTTTTCTAACTCTGGTGGCCCTTCTGCAAGTCTTCAGCCATCTCTGTTCAATCCTCATAGGTCTTGGGGTCCTCAGTGGAGCCAGACCGAGTACTTTTGGCACGTTTCTAGGGGACAAGGCCTTAGACCCTGGCATCGTTGAGGCCCAGGGACCAATGGTCCGTGGGGCCTCCAGAGGTGGGTGAGGGGAAGGTACCTAAAGTCTTGGACAATGGAGAGCCAGTGAGGAGAGATTGACGAGGAGAATCCCGGGAGTGGGGCCAGGCCTGGCAAGCCAGGATAGAAGAAGCAGTTTTGTGTTTCTGTCTAAATGCATCTGTGTGCCTTATGGTCCAGTAAGCAGTTCAGGGATGGTGGGTATCTTGTGAATATCTCCTAGTTTCTCTCCAGTGTCTTTGGCAATGCTCCGAGTCACCAAGTTTGGCTGACCTCTGCATTCCAGCATTTGCTGGAAGGGAAACAGCATATTGGGTAGTTTTATGTAAGGATCAGAGGTCTTAGATGAGAAAAGCTGTGGAAGCTGGGGTAACAGGCGAGAGGGACTCGTTGGTCAGCTTACCCGGGCTGTCTTCACTCCTCCCAAGTGTTTAAGTACAAAAGCTGATTAAAGAAGTGAAAAAATGCCTTGCCTTCTTCCCCACCTGAAGTCTGGGTTCCAGGTAGTATTTGGGGGAAGAAATATATGTCTTTTAAATTCCATTGAGAAACAATCTAGCATAGTGTTTTAAAGCATGGATTTTGGAGTCAGATGTCTTTGGTTCAGATTTGTAGCTTTGTTACTTACCAGATGGTTTGACCTTGTTGGTTGGCTTCTCCTTTCGGAGCCTCAGTTTCCTCAATTCTAATGATATATATTGGGTGAGGGGTAGTGTTGAAAATATCTACCTCATGGTTGTTGGATTAACTGAAACAATGTAAAGCTTTAGCACAGTGCCTGGCAAGCACTTAATAAATGGTTGTGGTGGTGGTGGTTACATTTATTATGTAACTTAATCAGAAACTTGATTTCTGTGATTTGTGAGCATATTTCCAGTGATTTCTTTTCTCTCAAGAAAACCATAGGTAAAAACAAGGAAAATGCCCTGGAGACACCCATATTGAGTTGGGGGCAGACAAAAAGGCTTTGGTACCTAAACCTGTCCTAGAGGGAGGGAAATAGGAAATTGATGCCTTCTGCCCAGTCAACCAGACTTTACCACTCTCCATGCCAGCCCAGGGCAAGGGTGAGAAACCATCAGGTATGAGCTTTCCTTACATCATTTGAGGTGTGAGGGCAGCTGAATGGGTTTCCCATTACCCTTGGAGAAGCTATGCCAACTTCACGTCATGAGACACCAAGGCCGTCAAGTTGGGCCCCGTTCGTTCAATTTTATTCCATGACCTTCAACATATTTAAGTTATATGTGTGTTAAGAGGTTCTGGGGCAGAAGGGTATTGAGATACTGAGAAGAGAATCCAGAAAAATAGACTGGGATCTTAATAGCTACCATTTGCAGAGTACCCTGGAGCATTTTTTTTCTGGACCCACGTGCTCTCAGTTCGATGGGGACACCAAGCAGGTCGTTAGCATTACGAATCCTCAACGGAGAAGCTGGGTGTTCACGGTAGGCTTCCTCCAGGAAGTAACATAGTCTAAGCTGATAGCTGGTAGATAACCAGGGGCTGGGGAGTAGTGAAGAGCATACATTTCTCCTCTGGCTTCTTTCCCAGTTCCCAAACACTTTGCTCCTCTGTGTTTAAGGGTTCTGTTAATAACTCCTAGGAAGGAACCAGGTGATGGACCCCAAAAGAAGAAAACTCTTTGGTTAGCCATAGAAATCTTTGGAAATCATTTTGGTTGCTGGCCCAGGTTTGTCCTGGAGTGCAGATGGATTGGACTTGCTCCTTTGTAGCCTTTCCACTGTCCTCTGTCTCAGAAGTCTGTCTGCATTCTGGCCTCTGGAGCCACTCCGCCACCCTCGTTGGAAGAGATTCTGGGTACAGTTACTCAGACATCAGCCTGATAAATATCCTAGCTGCCTGGAATTCTCAGCCTCTTCCACACTGAGATCCTTCTGATCTCAGGTCTGCCGCCACCTCCAGCCACTCCCCTCCTCCCCACTATGAGCCGAGCCAAGCCTCTCTGCCGTGCGCCTCTGTAGTCACGCACAATCTCTTGCCCCTGACCTTGGTCCCCAGCCTCATGGGTGAAGAAAACC